GTACGTACACTTCTCAGAATTCTGTTTGTCGCTGAAGTTTCACACAATACAATCCATCGTTGAAAAAATGATGAGTGAATATATTAAAATACATATATATGTGTAAGTTGCATAGATTTTGTAGAGATAATTATTTATCTGAAAATGTATAATCAAAACAAATATAAATATAATTAAAAATATATGAAATAGAATATATAATTTTCCAGCGTACAGATCGGCTGTTATTATTTCGTTTATCACGATACGTATCATCTATTGAAAACGTAAACTCCTTTATTAAATAAAGCTTCTTCATTTCTAATTTGTTTTAAAAACAATATAAAATCTGTAACTCTTTCCCTAAGTTTAAATAAAAAAATGAGATAAAGATTTCTTAATTTTTATTTAGCTGTAAATGAGGTTTGCTCCATCCAAAGTTCTTTTTTTATTTGTCAAATTATAAATCCAAATTAAATAATGTAATCTAATGCGGACGTTCATAAATTGTAATCTCTGACTTTCGTATATTTCTACTTTGTACGTACTTGTCTGTTTATGTTTTGTTATTCCCCCACGTACGTATTCCCCCACGGACAAACTGGTTTGTCGTTAAACAGTTCGATCAGTAAGCAACCGATCGTTTCGGCAATCACGTCTGGATATATTAAAAGACAAGGTATTTACTAAAAGCGCCGTATATCCGTTTTCGAAGATTTTTTACTTCGGAAAGCAGACAGCGAACAGAGTCTGTCAGTTTTGCAAGAAGACAGTGCGAGTCCGCGAAACTGAACTTGGAGGAGGAAAAATTGTTGAGCCACATAATAGACAAGCATTTGCCGTTACATTGCCGGCTGTGCCGGTGATTTATTTGTATCCAGAGAAGACTTCAAGTCCATCGGTAATATAATTCGCGAAGCAAGTTAAGAAATAAGATCCGACAGTCCGCAATTACTCGTGAAAATCGAAAAGCATCATCGTCCACGAGAATTTTAGAACCAAATTTTCGAAAAGTTTTGTTTCATTAGAGACGATTATTGTTTATACATTTAATCTGTATACTTAAGTATTACATAAAAATAACGGATTGAAAGAAATTAATGCAAACTTATGTTTCATTCGCTTGAATTTTAAATAATATAAAGATTATATACAGTCCGCTAGAAGGAAATGACCGTCAAATATATGATGCCTTTCTTCTCTATTTTAAAAGTTTTGTTACTTGGAAAGCATGTAGAATATTATAATGTACAATCAAATCGAAATTAAAATAAAATTTTAGGATATAAAATACATAAGCTAAAATGCAATTCTTATATAAATAATAAATTTGAATATCTCCATTAAAATATTCTCTAAAATTATGCATAACGCATAAATTTCAAGTCTATAAGATCTTTTATCTTCAACGTCGGGTATTTTTGATGGCAAGTATGTTAATTCCACATTTTTAACTGAATCTTCAGCTGCGTGCAAGTGGTTTGAACGCTGGCATTGTCTGACGTCGCCGATCTGCTACGACTACCTAGAGAAGAAGCTAAAACCGTGTTCCATAAGCGAGAGCGACTGCAACGGCAGCAGGAAATCTATTGGAAGACCAGCACGCCATCGGCCAAAAGACCAGCTTCGAGACGCCCTGATACGTGCCGGAATTCACTTTCGGTCACTCGGAAATGGATTTGCAGCTGAGTGAAAAATTAAAGATGAAAAGCTTGGATGAAAATATCGCCTTGGAGACTCATCTTCAACTTCAAACGCGCGAAATCAAGTTACAACTCGACGAGATCTTACGGCTGACAGACAAGCTGGTTGAAGATAGAATACGTCGGATTAAGGCCTACTTAAATTGTGTGCGAGTAGTTGTGCGACAAAAACTGAAGAAGTCCTCGTTTTCAAACCGGGCGTTGATGGAGCTTGTATGCACGGCAGGTTCCTTGGAAGAGCGAGTGACGAAGAATACGAGATTCATACAGCTGACAGACAAGCTGGTTGAAGGTAGAATACGTCGGATTAAGGCCTACTTAAATTGTGTGCAAGTAGTTGTGCGACAAAAACTGAAGAAGTCCTCGTTTTCAAACCGGGCGCTGATGGAGCTTGTACGCACGGCAAATTCCTTAGAAGAGCGAGTGACGGAGAATACGAGATTCATACAGAAAGTTAAGGAATTAAACGAGGTAGTTGAGAATCTAAAAGTAGACATCAGAGAACTGTGGATGCAACGTATTGAAAACTACACAGGCGAGTCAGCAGATGCCACCTATCGAGAGGGTATAAAATTTTGTTCAATTATTTGTTTAATTATTTGTAAAATTTTTGTTTAATTATCAAATCTTTATCATTTATTATGTTTAGATTAAATGGCACTCGTCGACGAAGAGATTGCACATTAAAGGCACCGAATGTGTAAGGTCTGTTGTGACCCTCGGTAATTTCAGCGTGTCGAGCAACATTACGGCGCAGACTAATACGTCAACATTGCGTTTTATCGCGGAGGATTTCGCGCTCTTCATATCGGACAAGCTGCGCTTAACTTAAATGATTATGAAGGGTGATTAAAAATTATCGAATATTTTAAGAAACCTTGTTTATAGAACATTTATTTGAATATTAGTAATTAAATTCGAAATTATCAAAACTTGTATCCGTACTATGATAAAAATTTGAAGTACATAAATATAGATTATAAGGAATACATACGTTTTTCAAAGAATAAAAAGATTTATTTTGCAAATAAAATTTCGTTATTTATTTTTGTCTGTGAGAAAAATTCTCAGTTTCAAATTGCGCTTAGAATCACCCCGTATAAGAAAATGAACAGATATGATAAAAAGTTGAACGTCTAGTAAATGTCGATTGACGCAGAGTCGTAACAAAAAGGCGATCTTAAGAGCAATTATAAGGAAAAAGTGCTAAAAGATTTGTATCAAATAACTGAAGCAATCAGTCTTGTTCTTTTTCGAAAAATTTCTTGAACTGGTGCACACTAGTGCAATAAGTTATAGCGAATTCGGGCGCTTGCACTAGTGCACACTGAGTGCGCACTAAGGCTTGTTCTTAATCAATTGTTATATTTACAGGTCATCTTAATACTTTTTAGTCTATACAATGATTTGTACAGCATCCATATAGATATTACAGATTGTTTTATGGGCTAACAAGTTTTTAAATGTGTATTTAAGCGACTTGAAATATAAAAATAGATTATAAACAAGCCTTAGTGCGCACTCAGTGTGCACCAGTGCAAGCGCTCGAATTCGCTATTAGACTGAGACAAGTATATATTGTTTCACTCTAACTTATTGCACAAATGTGCACCATTTCGGGAAGTTCTTCGGAACCAAAAAAAAAACAGACAGACGGTGATAAGATTAATCTTACACCAAACACTAAAAAAAAAGAGAAAGAAAAAAAGGAGTTATAACAAACTTTCTCTCAGAAATACGCCCTAGAACATAATTATAAATTACAGTTTGCGAAGATCGAGAACGAATACACTGCCATCCGATGCTGACGCACCGACCTTGTCACCACGACTATTCCAGCACACCTCGAAGATACCGCCTGTACCTTTGTAACTGTGTACCAACTGGCCGCTCTGTTCGAATTAAGAGAAAGCAATCAATTTAATTCGATTTAATAGTATTAAAAAAAAAAACACAACTTATGATACTTACTTGCGTAGACCATATATGAACGCATTTATCGAAGCTACCGCTAGCAAGGAATTTCCCATCTGGACTAAATGCTACACTATAGACTGGCTCGGTGTGTTTGGTTAGCGTGTGTATGCACACACCTCTCTCGACATCCCATAGTCTAACGGTAGAATCGAACGATGCGCTGGCCAATGTTAAATTCATATTCGGATTGTGTGTTCCTGGGCCAGTCGGTGACCATTTGATCGTATAAATTTCTTTACTGTGTGCTTGCAGGTCGTGCACCCACGTGTCCTGCTTCATCGACCAAATTTTCAGACTCATATCGTCTGAACAACTAGCCAATAGATTTCCTTGCGGGTCCCATTTAATTGCATTGACTTCGTTCTGCAAAACACACATAAAAAAGAAGAAAATGAAGGAAAATGTTTGATTAAATCATGATAATTTTCTCGATCGCACATACGTACAGTGTGTCCCTGAAAGCTTTTGATAGGCTTATCCACATTGAGTTTGCACACATGTATACACTGATCTGTAGAACAGCTAGCAAATGACGTGTTCGTCTGCCAGTCGACGTCCAAAGCAGGCGCGCAATGAAAACTGAACTGTTGCGTACACTGCCCGCTTTCAGCGTCCCAAATAATTGTGGTCTTGTCGACGCCAGCACTCAGAATGTAATTGCCGCGTTTGTTCCATTTTAATGCGAAGATCGGACCTTTGTGCTGACCCAATGTGGATGCTAATCGCCCATCCGTTGTCCAGATTCGTGCGTATCCGTCGTAACTTCCCGTCGCGAGTAACGTACCGTCACACTGCAAAAGTTCGAAATGCGTGTTTGCATCAACGCGTTCGACCATAACTAAAAGCGCGTCCAGTCAGTACCTTCCAATCTAACGATGTAACGTCTTTATTGCTGGGCACTTCAGTGCCGCCTTTCTGAATACAGTGACGTAGGACGAGCTGATTTGGTGCCTGAGAATTATCCGACATATCCCAAATGCGAGCAGTGCTGTCGCCCGAGCCAGAAGCTAACAGATCGGTCGTCGGATTCCACGCACAGATAAAGACCTCTGACTCATGACCACGCAATTTCGTGGCTTTACTCGCAGGAATCTCCACGGTACTAGTATTAGAACCTGCATTTGGACCTGTTGCTGGCTCGTCTACCTCCATCTCCGCTCCCCGGTCCCCACCTCGGTCATTATTATTTACGCCTTCGTTGGATGTAACAACTAAGAAAAGAAATAAACATCTCGATTAATTCACAGGAACTTATTACAACCATTTTAGGATACCTAATTGCTTATTATATGTAAAAAAAAAAAAAACAGCAGTCAATTCCAATAATTACTTTAATAATAGAAATAATAATAATAGAAAGGTAATTGCTGTTGAGTCGTGTGAATTACATTATTAATTTTATACTTATTCACATCACGTTACTCTGATTGACAGTAATGATCTATACACACACACATATATATCTCTACTTATTATTTAATTAGTTTATTTAAAGAACTGTTTGCCACTAGTTGACGGACAGATCGATGATGAGTTATACGCTGTCTCTTCTGACTACATCCAATGATAAAAATATGCTTCGTCACAAAGGAAACCATATCTTTATCGTTACGTTTGACAGAAGCGACAAGTTATGACTCACAAAATGACCGCAATCTATGGCCGTCCCGCTTTAATCTGCCTGAGTTCTATGGAGGTCTGAAAAATATTTAACTTCTCCAGACCAGGGTGTATCAGGCTCTCCGTAATTACATCACGCATTATGTAATCCTAATCACTAGTTCATGCAAAAAAAAAATATATATATATATATATAGCAAGTAGATTACCTTCTTCGCCATTGGTATCTTGGCCTTCAGCCTTCACCTGCTGTTTCTGCTGATTGATCTGATTCTGTCGTGTCGCAACAATGTCTGGCATAACAGCGTCGATAAGGGACAAGGATTCTACCATTCTGTGTTCGGTGCCATCTTCGCCTATCATAATCTCTGCCTCTGTATACTGCAATCCCTTCTGAATAATAGACAGGAGGGCTGCAGGTGGCACGAGGGCTCCATTGATATTACTCTGCGATATATGGGACTCTATTCCAAACGTGTACGCAGAATGTTGGAAACCTGTGGGAGACAAAAGTCCGGGAATGATAAGATTAGACTGAAACAGGGCGAAACGTTACGCTCGGACGACGTTGAACTTATGCGAGCTGACTCCATCCTAAGATTTTAAGTACATACAATAGATCGTGTTGACAAACAAATTTCACGAGTCGCTCGACTCGGCGGCTTGATTTAGCTACACTCCGAATCGTGAGCGGTCTCAAATCGCCGGCGTGTCGGCCACTCGATCGCGTTAAAGCGCGTTGGAATAAGCCGGCGGGTTCTCGTCGCGCGAACGTAACGCAACAGACGCGGAAATGTAGCGTCCGTCCGGATATGGAGGTTATGTATGGCGAGTCGTACCGGATTCCTGCAGGTATCGGTAGACCAAGAAATTGACCTCATCGCTGGAGAAGCTCATCGTGTCTGACATTCACGGTACTAGCACAGCATATTTACGATGGGGATCGCGTCGAGAGGGCCGCTCCTTGAGTCGGTCGCGCCTGGCCCCGTCTCACCTGTCTGGCCTGGTCTGGCCCGCGTCCGCGTGCAATGGCGTGCAATGCCGATTGCCGACAATGCCGACACCACGCCGAGCCGAGCCTCCTTCTCTCCTTGCGTCAAAGACACAACTTTTCTCGCTTGCCGTTCGCCACTGTTTTGCCGCGTCGAAACCAAACCTGTTTTGCGTGCGTAGGGAATCAGGGAGCAAGGGGAGGAGGAGATGGACACTTTGGACACCGGCGGAGGACGATGGTCACTGGTTACCGGCTAGAACTAGAAATTCTCTAAAGACTCACCAACGAGACCAACTCCAAAATCGTCACGTGATCGTTAATGGACTTTGATTGGCTGGAATTATGAATCTCGAATCTGGTATACAAATTCCATGCATGGAAAGTTTTCTATTGGAGCACGTATTGTGAAACTTTTCGAAATTGATTCCGAAATTCTGATTGTATTTATTCCGTTTTCCTTAGAAAACACAATAGAAATCTAGGAAATAACTAAACAATTCCATGCATAAGCCAGAGCGAAAGATTAATAATATCAAAATTATTTGCTATATTTTTTACTATTTTTTACTACTTTCAAGAGTAATTTTTTGCTCCAATTATTATAAAAAATTACGAAGGGCTAGATAGCTTAAGCTAATATTAATATATTATAATTTAACAAATTTATATAACAAATAAACTGTATTTACCTATATATATATGTATGTCCTGCACAGTAAATATATATGTAAAGATATATAAACACGAATATAATTATATGATTGCATAACTATACGTTTCAAATGACAAAATTGCAGAAATATAAATACAGCATTTATTTTATTATTTAAAGCACTTTATTTGAAATATAAGGAATATAAACGACATTTAGATCTCAAATATTTTGTCTTTTTTCAACAAAGATATCATTGTCCTGTTAGTAATTCTTCCGAATTCTGAGTATACGTTTAACTTCTTTTCCATAACTTCTTTTCCAAACAATTTAGAAGGTCTAATTGTCCTAATCGACATGCTGTATCACGTTCCCATCTTAATTATTATGAAGAGTGCTTCTTTACCAGATCGTTCCGCAACAGACCCTTAAGGCCCAGTTCAACAGTGGCCAGTTAGCTTAACTAGTAGTTAACTCTCACTCTCCGTCTCTATCTAACCTTTGAGTTAAAAAGAGACAGATAGTGAAAGTTAACTACTAGTTAAGCTAACTGGCCACTGTTGAACTGGGCCTAAAGCAATGGATGTCAACTCCTTTTGATATTGAGCGCGTTTAGCAGACCAAGCCGCTGAGTAGCAGTCGAATGTGATTGGCTCTTGCTTTTAGAACCAACCAATCAACGCAGAGTGTTGATAAGACGAATTCAACAGTTGTGTCTGCTGAACGCGGCCAATCACAGAGCCGTATTAATGCGGGGTCTCTACAATGCGAGTCGCAAGCAGTCGCAAGTCGCGATTAGTCGCGATGATATAAACCCATACTATACTATACTTGTATTAAAGATGGCGGTCGCAGGATGAATCAGTGGGGAAAGAGAGAGAGAAAACGAGGGAGGAAGGTTGCAAACGATTGTCAACAAGTAAAGATTCCGCAGAAAGGACGATTTAGGTAGATTTAGGATGGTCAGAGAAAACGAGAGAATTGAATCGGACGTGAGCTGCATTTCTCCTCCTTTTTTTGTTATGTAAGCGCGACACGTCGAGGGGGATAAACCGCCGTGAGTGTTGGAAGTAGCACGGAAGCCAGGTGCCGTCGAGAAACGAGTTCTCTATCCGCTCGTCCGGAAATACAGACTTTGATGAATGTCTGAGAGTGACTACGATTCAGCGAACGAGTATACAAGCCTGATGGACGGTCACGTCGCGGAGTCTCGCACGGACGACCTGATCCTGGGCAATGAACGTCGGAAGGGCCGCTCCAGAAGTGCCAACGAAGAGGTAGCTGTTTCAGTAAAACTCTCAGACTCTCATTTAATCGAAGAATCTTAATAACTCTTCGTTTATTTTTTACGCAGTGGAATTTTAGGATGTCGTTAAAAGCGTTCATTGAAAACCATCTTTTTTCATAGGTGGAGAATGGGGTGCCCGAGGTGCATATTGAAGCGGCTGGCATGGCTGTCGCCCGATCAAACAGACGTGGCACGTCCCGTAACAATAATCAAAATAGACTGAGGCGCTACAGAGACGAGGAGGAGGAAGAACTTAAATACGGCGCTGCGCATGTGATCAAACTATTCGTCCCTGTTTCGCTGTGTATGCTGGTTGTGGTGGCCACTATTAGCTCAGTCAATTTTTACACGACCAAGGGAATGTACTTGTGAGTATTGCTCTAGCAATAGTGTTTTATGCATACTATGTACACAGGGCTGCGTTTAGAAATTCAACCTCGATAACTCTAAGCTATAGTTTGTGTCACGTACTGTAGCATTAGAGTTACCCAGGTGTGCCTAAGTTGCCTAGGCATAATTCCTGAACGTACAACCAGTATACTATACACGATATTTACTGAAATAATGATTTTTTTTAGAGTATACACTCCATTTCATGAGGAAAGCCCCGATATGAGTACCAAAGTCTGGCAAGCGTTTGCCAACTCCCTGATTCTCATGAGCGTCATTGTATTTATGACTGTGATACTTATCATCCTTTATAAATACAGATTTTACAAAGTCATACACGGTTGGCTGATCATAAGCTCTCTACTGTTGCTTTCAATGTTCTCTGTCCTATATTGCGAGTGAGTGTAAAGATACTGTTCTAAATTTAATATACTTTGTCCATTTAACGTTCAAAGGAAGATTCATCTGTGTATTTTATACTTGCAGGCAAGTGTTGAAAGCTTATAACATTCCAATGGATCTATTCACGCTAGGTATAGGCTTATGGAATTTTGGTGTAGTCGGAATGATTTGCATTCACTGGCAAGGGCCGTTGCAACTTCAACAGGCGTATCTAATCTTCATTTCCGCCCTGATGGCGCTCGTTTTCATTAAGTATTTACCCGAATGGACGGCATGGGTTGTGCTCGGGGTTATAAGTATCTGGGGTAAGGTGTTTTCGAGACGGAAGTTTATATATACTGTGAGTACATCGACGATCTCATGTCCTTTTTATGCTTTTCTGCATTTTAGATCTGATTGCGGTTTTAACACCGAAAGGCCCACTAAGGATACTCGTCGAAACGGCGCAAGAACGAAACGAATCTATTTTCCCTGCTCTAATATATTCTTCCACCATCTTGTACTCGTTTACCGTGACTTATGCTGGATACGTGCAAGCAGCCACAATGGCATCCGGAGACACCGCGGTGTCTCCTACGCGTGACCAGGCGGACAATCAAAATCGAGCATCGGGCGATGCGGAAGATGCAGGAGGTTTCACTCCTGAATGGGTAGAGACGCACAGTACGAATCGAGCATTAATAACATTTCCAATAAAAGAAATTACATTACACAACTAATTAACACTAGAACTACCGAGGGAGTTAAAATAACTCGTTCGACATTTTTAAATAATTTATTACTTATTTTTGAAACGCCTTAATTTCTGAAATCTTCCCTGACTTTCATTGAAATTACATAAATGATTAATTTTATTAATTTGTTTTTTCCTTTCTAAGATTTCTTTTGTAGAAATAAATATATAGCGAATTCGATTGGACGCACTAATACGCTAATAGATTAATCTCCAGTAGTTCTAGTGTTAATAAAACTAAAATGACATAAGCTCTATATATGGATTATATACTAAAGTATACGTATTTATTATTACAATACATAGTATATAATTTGTTCAAGAGACTCCAAAATTTAAAATTAAATTTTAACAAACAGGCCTTTCAGATAAAGTGCTGAATTAATTCTGATTATACAGACGAACGTAGCACGAGACACGCTCAAGAAGTGCTCGAGAACTCGGCCGCGTTGAGCGAAAACACGAGACAGGAGGAAAATCGTCCGCGAGAGTCGCAAGGACAAGCCGCGGTCGTCGAGGAGGAACGCGGAGTTAAGCTAGGCCTCGGGGATTTCATATTTTATAGCGTGCTCGTCGGAAAGGCGTCCAGCTATGGAGACTGGAACACCACGCTGGCTTGTTTCGTTGCTATTCTTATTGTACGTATTTATAAACGTTCGGTGCGTTGAGCACCGACAGAATTTGCCTAATCGATTGTTTCCTATGCAGGGCCTCTGTCTGACACTGCTGTTACTGGCCATATTCAAGAAAGCGCTACCCGCATTGCCGATTTCTATCACGTTCGGTTTGACGTTTTATTTTGCCACGAGAGTGATTGTCGCGCCATTTGCCGATAGTTTAGCGAGCGAACAAGTGTTTATTTAAAGCGAGGTATGACATTCTATTATTTAATATAATTTATTATAAAAATCGCATATCGAGGGTACAATGCTCATTTATTTACCCGTTTGGTATTTATCGAATTTATTTTTAATTTTCCTATTTCTCGAGTTACTCTTTTAAATATCATTTGTTTCTGCGAATTTTTCTGGACTAAACAAATCAAGACGAAAAGTACCTACACTTTTAGATGTTAATCAGAGACTCGTGTATCAAGTGTGTGTCACGTGTATGTATGTGCGTCGCAAAATGCTCAGAAAAGGGGAAAAAATTTAAATTTCTAATATAGCAGGGTAGAATAGAGAACGATAGAAGATGTAATTTATTTAGTATTTTTCTATACGAAGCGAATTCACAAAAACGCGTTTACGTTGCGAAACCCAGGCGGTACATTTCATCGCGGCGATATGTGATACACAAGCGGGAAAATGCGCTGCATTATATAACAATTTATTGTACTCCATTGTTACACTTATGGAACATATAGGTCTCGTAGATTCATGTATAAAAAAAGCGGATAACGACGGGATGATTGCGGTGAATCGTAGGAAACGCGAGGTAATGTCCGTTCGAATAAGTAATAACTGCCTCGTTATACGAAACTCAATTAGTGTTCGCAGTGTACGCACCTCTGAACGGTGTCGTTGCTCGAGTTTTCGCTATCAATAATTAATTATTAGCCAGGATGAATCTGTGGGGGGGTTTCTCGAATCCAGGTTACACACAGCCATGGAATAAATACCTTTTTCTTTCTCTCGTACTACTGAAAAGCATATTTATCGTACTTGTGGCGCTTAGTGTTTTTTTTTTTATATAGATTTTATTTTAACGTACTAAATATAACAGCGTTTTCTCGAAGCCGGAAGTGTTATCTTTCTCTCCGAACATCCGATAAGAATACAAAGCGAGATGTCCTGGCTATGTAACGAACAAGCAGTTTTATATTATCCCAAGATATTTTGCATGCCAATAAGCTTTTTTTTTTTTGTAAATTTCAATACTTCAATCGTACAGTCTGATCGATCTGATCAATTGTTAGCCATAGCAATGCGGTATTTCCCAAAATCGATAGTTATCGTGTTGATCAACTTTGGTTTAGTATTAATATTCAAATAAATGCTAATATCTGCATAACAACTCCAACTTTAACAGTGGTCTGTTAATTCCTTGCACTATACACATTTATGCACACATGCACGCGCTCGCACACACACAGGCGCAAACAGACAGAGGGTATTTATAAACACTTTACCGCTACTTCAGATACTTAAAGGCCACAGTACGAAAAAAAGTGCACAGAAAAACGTATCCTGGAAATGCCCTCTCACAAAGTTACAGTCCTTTAAAGATACCGATAAAAAATGTTGTCTCGGAAACCGGTGCATCACATAAAAACAATTTTGACTATTTAAAATTTTGAATTTTCTCAAAAAATAAAAAAAAAACAGTCTGAGTGGCTCGAAAAAATTAGTAGATTTTTTCGAGTGAAAAACTAAAAAGATACATTTTTGCAAATTTTTACTTTCTTCGTACTTCAAGTTCAGAAAATATGAGACAGCATTAATTTTTTAAAATGTATCTAAGGGCCTGTAACTGGGTTTCTGAACACACGTTTGTATGAATTTTTTTTCTTATTTGGATCTCCAGAACACGTGCCTGAAGTAGTGGTAACGATTTTGTTAACAGCCAGAGATAGATCCCGGAAACGGAAAAACTTTAACAAAGATATGATATCTTTCTCGCTTGTAACACATTGCTACGTTTACAATTATTACGCTAATGGATAGTTCTTTCAATTCGCTAGTCGATTCGCTACTTCAGATCGCACATACAAAACGCTATTCGACGCAAAATAAATACTCTTCGGGTGAACTATGCGAAGTTATGGTCACCGTTTTGCTGACGAGAATTCGCTCTTTTCGCCGTAATTTACAATAACGTTCGCTTGTGCTAGTAAAACGTAACCAAAATTATAATATCAGCTACATGATTTGACTATATCGAAGGAAGGTACACTTCGTGAATTCTACCGGGCGATTCTATTGGAAAGACATTAGGAAAATATTCTATACCTGTAAAGGAAAAAATAAGTCGCTGTGACGCGATATGTTTTGCCTCGCCAACACCCGCGGTCTTTACTCTCTCGTAAAGAATATATATCACGTTGCATTCCCGTTAATGTCTCTGTGCAAAACCCGCGTGCACGAGACAGTATCAGTGAAGAACGCTCATTTTTCTACAAACCAGTCTTACAATCGTTAAGCTTCTGGAAGCATATATATTTTTGTAATGACTACAAAACAGGACGAGTCGCTCAACATTTGCAACCCAGTTACTGATAAGTGATTCGTAATACTCTTATTGAATTGTAGCGATAAGTTACGAAACATCTTAATTTTATCTTTATGTAATTTTTCATAGAATTGATATGTGATTCAAGGAATGTGTTATACGCGACAAATGTTACGGGACTCATTCTGTGTGAACGCCGTTGCTACTTCGCTCAACATCTCTTTTGCTATGGCTACATTTTATAAATAGAAAAAAAAAAACTGAAAAAATACGCTGAATTATAAACATCTGTTGCTTATTCAATTCTCTCACTCATTCTTCGGTATACGGAAGGGTGAGGGTTGCACTATAGTACCTTAGCTAGTTCCGTATTTGCCGCTCTCGAACATACCGCGCCTGAAAAACGGGCTGAACTCCAGTAGGGATTGTTTGTTTATGTTGCTAAGATTGCCGTTGTATTTGTATAGAGGCTCGCAGTGCGGCAGTTCCGAGCAAACTTGAATTAACCGGCGAAGATATTCCTCGAGACGTTTCCGGCGTTGCCTCGCTACGACTTCGTACTTTGGAAAGACTTGGCGTGGAGGAAAGCGTATCGCCGCGACCTGCGTACGATCAAAGAGTTTCCGTAAAATCAATTGTACTGCATATAAGTACGCGTGTTTATGTTTATGAAAGTGGTCTGAGACGCGTGTATATTTTGTTTTTAAACAATTAGATTTTTGCTATTCAAAGTCCACTTTAAAGCATCTATGATTCGTGTCAGAATTTCCGAATAAAATTGTATATTATTTATGTATATATGTGTGCATTCTTGTATTTTATATGTGTATAGCTTGATTTTTCAATGCTTTTCCATATTTTACACGACACATGAAATTATCAAAAAATTTTGTAATAAATATAGACTGTTCTTTCTTTATAATGATGACATTTTTTATTTTGAATTAAAATTTCTTTCTCCAAAGCTTATGTTTAAGCTGGCAAATTCCCATATTTGTGCCATTTTCACAATTATTGTTTAGTGTAATTAAGCTATCACGTACCTTGCTACCATACTTTTGTCGCATCGATGTATACAACTCCCGGAATCTCCTGTATCTACGTAGCAGCGTCCAGCTGTCGTCCTGCGCCACGACTCGCACCTCGTACTCGTAGTGGCTGGACGCCCCGGCTCCGCGTATCACATACGACGGCACACTGACAATCATATTAATCACGCAGTCGCCGTCATTTGCTATTAACGACGGTAGGGACCTCGTGATTGTTAAGGAATACGGACTACTCAAGCGGTCGCCGCGATTCTGACTCTGCGCAAAGAAAATATATCTATGTTAAAGTCTTCGCTGACCATTTAAGGGGATAGAGAAGAGACGTCGAGATGACTTACCGTCAAGTAAACTGTTGAATAACCCCGACTGGAGGATCTTTTAGACGCTAACGATTCCGACAAAGTCTCTTGATCGTTAGTATTAGGCCTGTTATTCCTGAAAAGTTGAGATCTAGTTTGCGCTACCGTTAATAGAATGGCCGAGCTATTATTCGTAGGTTCTACAACACTACAGTAAGCATTTGGTTCGTTCTGTACATGATTCTCGGTCTCGTGGTTGACGAGTCTATCACTGTCGCCGTCGCCGTCGCCGTCGCCATCGCCGCCGCACTGGAGACGCTTCGTAGAATAACTTTTCCGTTCATCCTCCAATAAAGACACTTCCAATTCGATCTGCTGTCTCTGCAGATCCTGCAGTATCATTATCTGCCGATTGAGATCGTCTTTCGACGGGGTACCGGCGTCCAAGCATCTCATCACCATCACGCGTTGACGTGCGATTCTTTGGTTCAGTCTCTTCATCGCCGGATTCTGCTGTATTGGCGATTCTAGCGTATCCTGGAGCATGTTTTCCGGGATGGTGGCTATCATAGGCGGTTGTACGTCACTTAACGGCCCCATGGAAGCGCCTCTATTCGCATCTGTCGCATTTTTAGTTTCCATCTCGGATAAGCTTCTATCATCGTGGCCACCTCGTTCTTCGTACGCGAATTCATTCTTCGTCATCAGATCGCTTATACACGTCGTGTCGGCATCCTCGAAGGCTATACGAAGCTCCGGAGAGTCGGCCGCTGCCGTGTGGAATGTTTCCACGGTATCGGAGCTCGGTATACTCAGCGGCAACAAATTCAAGTCCAAGGCGATCTGATGCTTCCTATTGTTCGCCTCCTGGAAGGATCTGGAGTTACAGCTGAAGGCCGTCTCGTCGCAGCTGTTCGACGAACAACTGTCGTCCAGAAACGCAGGCGTAGCGCGCTTCAAGTCCAACGATAGACTGTGTTTACGCCGTTCGATCTCCTCAAGCTGTTCCTGACTCCGTTTTGCCAACAACATCTTCTTCTCCGTTAATCCTTCACCTCCCAGCTAGAAAGCATTAATGTAAAGAATCGTTTCGCAGAACGTTAGTATTTTATGCGTACATACTTCCGCCCTGAATATCTGCTTCTGTCTCTTCGCGATCTCCATCAGTTCCTCCTCCATCTTATCTACCTTACTCTGATGTTCGTTCAGAGATTTGACCTTGCTCTGTAGCTCGTTCTCCAAAGCGGCTAGTTCTTTCTTCTATTTAAGATTACACATTTTTTTTTTAGGAGAAAAACAATCAAACGAGATTGAGGAGAGACGTTTAAACCTACTTACGTGATGATTCACCAATTCCCTGACACTGTCGATGCACTTTTCGTCGTTGAGACTGGACCAAGATTCGGGCAGACTGTCGTCACTACCGGCACCATTATCCGTCTGAAATGCATATTCCGCTTCACTCACTCTCTACAAAATTACACGGAAATTACTGTAAAACAAGACGTCCGACCTTCTACATTCACATACAATCTGGCAATCGGAATATTTTACATTCCGTCGTTTTATTTAAAATAATAAAGAAATACTGCCGAGAGAGAGAAAGAGAGAGCTGTTATATCTGTATGGATTATCATAAAGAAAAGTTATGTGAATATATATGCGACGTATGCATCGCGTCGTTTGCAATATACGTGCGTATTACAGATACGAACTCGAAGATTCCTCGCCTTATTATAATCCTTACCTTTTCCCACTGATGCTGATTGGTTTGCGTACGTTCCTGATTGTTGACGAGCTCTTGCAATTGTCGATGCTTGGACTGCAATAATGTGCGCAGATAGGCGACTTCCCTACATATACTTTCTACCTGGTATCATACACACACACACCGATGCGTTAACAAAAGAGATAATCAACAAAAGATGATTCAAAATCAAATATTAATAACTAATAATTATGTTGTAGCATATAAACGAAAAAATAAAGAAATTTTTATAATTGTGAAATGTCAGTGACGAGGTGGCGAAGATGAAGGAAATAAATGTTTGTGCTTTTTCCTTTACCATATACAAAAATGTGTTTTAGACGCTATGACAATTGTAGAATAGAATACTCTCAATAGTATAAATATTAACGCATATATATTCGCTAAATTTTATCCTTGTGCGTGTCTTTAATAAATAAATGTAAATACGAATAAACAAATAACAAAATAAATAGATTAAATAAACAGCCAATGTATTCTCGCGGTGCGTTGCCTCGAGAAAATATTATAATAAGTTCTCGCCATTCTATTAATTAATACTCGGAATAGTGTATCATGCGGACGGATCCCGAGGTGTGACGGCAACGAGTTAATGAGAAATTGGGTTTGTTAATCGGGAGTGTTAAATCGATCGAATGCATACTCTTAAAAATTATGTGAGAAACAGAGAGAGAAAAAACAGTGAAAGTGCGTGCAAATACTTTGTGGAGGATTAAACGCCAATTTTTGTATGAAAAATTTATTAAACAACAATATATATATCAGTATAACAATAATTAGTGCCTCTGTACTTTACATCTCGCATAACAAACCCATAGACGTATCTCTATACAAACAAGCCCAAGATATGTACATACTTCACTCTTAACATTCTTACTAGATACTTAAATATATAACATTCCAAGGAATGCCATCTGTCCGGCAATATCTCTTCAGCACTAGCACCTTTTCGTGTTCAGCAGCTTACTCATATACATCAACGCAATTTGTTAACATAAACCATTTGTAAATATTAATATGTTAATTGTAAGTATACGCAATATATCTGAGGATTCTTGAGGCCGGTAGAGGAATCAAAGACAATTTCATGTAGACAATCTCATGGATAGCGAAGTCTCGTCGCAAACGACAACGAAAGCTTGCTCTAGAGGAATACCGATAGGCCTGGATCTAGACATCGATAGACAGTACTGTGTATCTTAATCACAAGAATTTTGGTCTGTATCAAAATGTCGTTCCGCAAACGTTTCGTTCACGTAGCCGGGACACTCGCAGATGTTCATCCACGAATTCGTGGCATCTCGCAGCGACGCGCGTGACGAGCGAAACTTTGATCACATATTTAACGGACAAACGTGCGAGTAGATGATGATGTTGCCAGACAAGCAAATAAGGACACCGATGGCGACAAGGACGAGGTAGAATTGGTACTTAATCGAGATTACATTCAATTCCGGAGACGGAGGCGCGTCCGTGTCACTTACTTGCGTCATTTCGTCCCGCCGTTCTTGTTCCAGGATATGCCGGCGGGCGCGCAGCTCGCGTTGACGCGACTCCAGGATCGCAATCGCGTCCGCCCATTCTTTCCACTGTGCGCCCCATTCGCGCTCCAACTCACGTTGAGCTCCTTCCAGCGCTTCCCTTCTAGCGGCCCATCTCTCTTCGCGTTCCTCTTGTTCCCTCTACGAGAAATATGTAGTTAGTCAAGATCTGGCTCAATGAGAGAAGCGTCCTGATCTAGAATATTTCACCCACCTTGAAGTCCTCCTTTTCCTTTAGAAGCGCAGCCTTCTGCTGTTCCAGCTCCTCGACCGCCCTGAGATCCTCGCTCGAGTTCAGAAGATTGTCGCTGGAACAGGACGCGTGTAGATCGGAGACGCTCCAACTCAAGAGCGACAGTCTCGATAGATTGACGACCGTTGATTGCAGGTTGCCGTTACCCGAGCCGCCCTCCTTTCGGAGTTTTGCTGCCTCGGCTGGATCGTTGTATCGGAACATGTTGTTCCTACCTAAAAGAATGATACAGCCTTGCGATAGTCTTGTTGGTTTGTCCACCTGAGCAGTATTGATCCAACAGTGGGACGAAAGCGGGTGTAGCGTCGCCACGCCACTATCCAGTTCGACTATGCAGTGTTCCGATTCCACATCCGCACCGGTCAAGACAATATCCTGTTTGTGATATAATGAATGTTTTTAATCGTTCTTTTACTAATTGATATTATATGTATTATACATATATATATATTCTTTTATATATGTTGACGTATGTCTTTTATATATATATTCTTTTATATATTAATAATGTTGTCTCTCAGTAGTCTCTTAATAAATTACACATTGGGTACATATAATTTCTGCTTTATTATTTGTAGACCTGAGAATTTTATTATATTTGTATTATCACCTGAACAACGGAAGCTTCCTCTGTGCCAACTAGCGTTTTTCCCTCTTTCAAATGATACAATGTAACGCCGGTACTGAGTAAATCGTCGTCGATGCCGACTAGATGCGGCATTTCCGAGTCGAGAACAACACCGACCCCGCTCTTTCGTAATCCTAGCGCTTTTTGCTCTTGCAGAATCTGTTGCGTCTCTCGCCACTTTTCGGTCCATTCCTCGGTCAGTACCTTTTCTTGCTCTTGCTTCTCTTGGATTTGAGCCAATAGCACTTGCGGTGGTTTCTCCACGCTCTACAAGTAACAAGTAAATATATATTCTCTAAAATAGTAATGAGGAAGAATTTGGAAAAAGAAACATGATTCATTCACAAATACTTGCCATATTTTTGTCGATGAGAGACTTCAACTTTTCTATCTCCGCCCTGAGCTCTCTGATGAGTTTCACATTCGCGTCTTCGTTGATAGTCGGCTTGTTGATAATGTTTTTCGCACGATTGGCGTATCTAAGAGTACTGAGAGTGTCGTTGTAATTGCATTCCGCCGGACTGATAGTCGCTATCATGATAGTTTTGGAGTTGCCGCCTAGAGAATCTTTCAGCAGCCACGTGAGCACGCTGTCGCGATAAGGGATAAACGTGTTACGTTTCGAGGCGGACGCGTCACCGCTGGCAGAACTGAGCTCAGAGAGCGTGGATATCACAGTGCCTAAAGTCACCAATGACTTGTTGATATGCGCGCCTTCTTTCAGTCGTTGACCCGTCGCTCCGGTCGCGTTCGCCCGTTCACTGAAGAGGCAGAGAAAGATCGGATTTTAAGAAATCGCGTAAACACTCGTCACGGCGTTTTTGCTTTGTTTTTTTTTTCTCTATTCTTTCATTTTCGCGAATAAACGGACTCGAAAATAACTCGACTTGCGGATGCTTTTTTTTTCGGGACTACCTTCCGGCCAAGTCGACTAGGTGCACCTTGGAAACAGTCTCCGACGGCATGCCTTCCGAGAGGCCGGCCTGTACGAAGGTTATCGTAAAAATCGCGTGACTCCTGCTACTCACGTCGTTCATCTTTGTGCTGGCTGTAGTCCTATGCGTATTACCTCTCACCATGCATTCCTGGAACAAAAAATAATAATTTATTGATACTTCGATTATCGATTGCGAGGAGATACGTACTATTATATATTATTTATTATTATAAATATTATTTGTCTTATGTATTATTTTATAAGAATATATCTTTATTTATATTAAAATAACAACGCCAAGAAATTTATATTTTAAATTACGATGCAATGAGAGAGATTAATTTACAAGTATGTAATTCTTTGTGTGCTGTTGCCATTTCAATAAACGATAGTGTAATGAGCAGATAAGCGAGTAGGGCTTGCTATTAAGAGACGCTTTGCTTTCTCGTCTCACCTGAATGTCCGAATAATCATAAACGAGATGACATGATAGATCTTGGACATAAGGCCCTCCCGTGGGGTGTTCCCGTACCCTCAGCGAATGGGATTGGCTTTGGTCCAGTCTAAGCAGATCTCTCACTCTTTCGTTATAGATTTCCAGGAAAGATACTTCCGTTCTGTACGACGCCCCGCTTTCCTTTCCAGCTGCCATTCTAGCGAAAAGCGTCTTGCAAATCCGTGGTATCAATCCCTGAGATTCCTACAATTCGTACATAATAAGTTATAAGAACGAAGAAAAGAGATTGCCAGATTGAGATAAGATCAATATGTTACGTCTTCTAAACAAAGGTAGAAAAAGTTTGATTAGTTGTGTGGATTTTTCATTTTGCAAAATTTATATTAATTTGGCCAAAATTGAGGAAAAGTGATGATCAGTAATTATTTTTAATAATCTCAGAGTAAGATTTTATTTATTATGTCCCTCAAAAGGCTGATTCTATATCGTTTAATTATATCGACTCGATGATGCAAAAATTCCATGCTCCGCAGTGATTAAGAATTTAATTCTTTTCGTTCATTCATTTTCCTTTCTTTCATCTTTTTAACTAACACTTTGAAGGAATATCGGCGCAAAAGTCCTTTTTCCACCGATAAGAAATGAGACTGAATGAAAAGGAGATAACGTCTTTTTGAGGAATTAGATTATCGCATTACCGGCGTGCCCATCATTGTAAAGGTCTTCCCGGATCCTGTCTGGCCGTAGGCAAAAACGCAGGCATTGTAGCCCTCGAAGGCACTTTCTATTACGTCCGTACCAAGATCGTAGAAAACCTGGAGGGAGAACGATTAGATTAGGATCTTTCCCCATCATTCGATAATACGAGAGGCGGCTTCGCTTTAATAACGCGGGGAAACGAATTTCATCAGTCTGGCGTTAGCCTTCAATGAAACGTGCTATGCATTTTACATAATGGCATTTAATTAGGTCATAGTAACACCGACTTTAACAATTACACCGTAGCCCGAAGCGATTACTGCGATGGTCCCGTATTGTGTTCCACATAATAACAAGATTATTCTGTTTGATTGTGCTTTGACAACCCTCTTTCATTCGCTACAAACGTTTGTTGGAAATACTAATCAGCCCTAAGGCTCCCGTTATAACATTACAATGGACAGAGCTGCCAATTATATCCTCAGGAAGATCAATTGTTGCTACAATTGTTGCCGCGCGCTTAGGAATATCAATTATTGCTATAATTATAGCCGCGCTCGACACGCTCTCCTCCTTTCTCTCGTATATCTCTTTTCGTTTGTAATTCGCTATCGGCGCAATCAAGCTAATTATAACTATGCGCGAGCGTAAAACGACCAATTTCATCTTTCCGTATATGGTAACGTTATTGCGAACCCGTTTTTAAGGTCGACAGTTTCGTCATCGATCTCGCGAGATCTCGAGCGAATAATTTTTGTCCTGGTTTTCGTTTGATAGAAAATATTGACTGATATGAACCTCTTCCTGGGACGCATAGTTTTCGTCGTTCGAATCGAAGGACCAGTAGGAGTGATCGAACGTGAAGTCTTTGTACTTCCCCCGGTCGATATCTCTGCAGCTATCCGGTGTCTGTGAACAATAAGGGGTAATCGTTATTTTAATGTCTTACAAGTGTTCGTTATCGCCATCGTTAGTGCTAAAGTTCAATTAGACAATTCTACAAGTTATACGGATGAATGAGCAATAGAAGAAGAAACTAATTATGAAGGTGAAAGGGGAATATAAACTGTATTTATATAATTAAGTCTACTACATTTATAAATCATATTATATCCATGTACTACTGAAACTCTAAAAAAGGTTTTCACGGTTTCCTAGGCAATTTTGCTTAATTTTGCTTTATTAAGACTAATTAAGATAAAACGGCGAAGTTATTATTTGCAAAGTTAGAGCAATTAATTATTATCTGTTTCTCTCGATTTTTCTTTTTTATTCATACGAAACTCTCAAAACAAAGTCTATCTAAAAGGCTAAAAATAGAACTTTGAAAAATTTCAGACAAAATTTATATTTTGGTGTTCTTAAAATAAAAACAAAATCTTCAAAGAACCCATTTTAATAAAAATTCTCTGATACCCGAAACATTTTCTGATAAGCCTCTGATTTCCTGAGGCAATAAAGTTCCCTCAGGATTTCAGATTTTCCAGGTTTTTCCAGCTAACAGAAATTTCGATATACATATATAATCCAGGATCTTCCGTAAATTGAAATTTTTTTCTAACAAAAAATCCTTTTATATATTTGTTTTTCGTCGCTACTGACTGGCATTTAAATCATCTGACTCGCGTATATATTCACGTGACGTTGCTATATACGGTAATCACACAGACTGGTGCATTCTTAACGTTGGCGTCTACGTAACCGATAAAGCATCGCTGGGAACATCGTGTGCCGCATTATGCAAGAAAGCGAATTGAAGTGAATGGATAATTACAAAAATAAGACTAGAACGGTTTTCAGGTCAATCTCGCTTTTATACGATTTTGCATGCACTTCGTATCACGTGCACGAACACGCCAGCGCGGTTGGTAGGAAGACAATGTATTTAATTTACATATTCGCATGCGGAGTTTCTGAACTCCCCCCGCTCGGCGATACGTAGTTCGAAACAAAGTTCCAGAATCGCCCATCAATCCACCCTCGATAAATCTCACAATCAGCCTAACTGCTTATTGTTAGTCCAAATTAATTCCAACTGCTTATTTCCACAAATTCACAAAGTACAAGTGGATTAAAAATGTATGTAAAATATTTTAAGAATTATTTCATTCGAAAATAATTACCGTACTCGATTGTAATCATTAATTTACGAGCAGCTTGATAGTTTGAGCAATTCAATTTTTAAAAGCGCGCTTTACGTCTTCGGCCAAGGCTGCACTTAATTCGCGCTCGTCGGAGATCCTTCCTGCCGAGCGATCGTTCTCCGCCGGGATTGGCCTTCTCTTTTGATTAGAAAGAGAGATCGTCCAGATAAGGTTTAATTGAATGCGGATAAAATTGGATTATACAACGCGGCGCGACCGCGCGGCAATTGCGCTCGATTGCGTATAGCCGCAATCGTCGAGCAACGAGTTTGCTGCTGCTGGTTTTGCTTGCTGCGGTCCAGCCGCGATTTTCGCACTTTCTCCTCAACGCATACCTTGTTATCTTTCAGCGCGGAGATTCACGCACGTAATTAGAGACCGAGCGACGTACGGTCGAGATACTTTTTGTTCCGTTAAATCGTTAATGGTTTATTCTTGCAACGATCTTTCTTGCTAGATAATTAAAATAATTATGCTATCATATCACGTCTATTTTATGAAGCTTGCAAATTTAGATTATTTTTCTCAGAAAGTCGAGCAATCTTCTAAATTTATTTTTAAAAAATCACGCTCTCTTCACGCTTTTTAAAAATTATCTGCGATATTTCTTATTTCTTGAAATTTTATCAAAATTATTGGCTCGGGAAAAAAAGTATATAAACACGATACTATCTTCGGCTGAATTTATCGGTCAAAGGTTCAATTAGCAATTATGACTTGGAAATCCATAAAAATTATTCGAGCAGAAATTATGACACTAGATTCGCTAAGCATTGGGCGATTATAGCGAAAAGGAACAGAGAGAGAGAGAGATCGTCCACACGTCACGACTTCCGCTTTGAAATTCTTTAGAAAGTTTATTTAAGGCCATTATATTTCTTGATACTTTGCGGTACCGCGAAGTGAATTTTTACACGCTCAAGCTACAACCAGGGATATTACTATTGATACAACTAATCAATTTTGTACAAGGTTTCTATACTCTAAACAAGCTTCTAATACTGACTGAAAATTTTACTGAACAAATTGACACTATTCGCAGGACATCTTTAGACGAAGATTAATTGACAGATCGTACAATTACATATTGAAAATGTGGCATCGAATCTGTCACAATATCGAGGGAAATGTGATCACGTGGCGAGACGTCGAACTTGCGATCCGCTGCTATTAGCTCCGGGCTTTATGGCGCTTTAGAGAAACTATATGAACAGTGGATTCGAGAGTGATGTAATCGCGGCTTACATCACGAACAAGACCTTTCAGTCTATAAACGAAAGAGCCAAAACGCAAATATGCGACAACGGCTACTTTTAGCGCATAAGGTGCGTCTCTCTGTATAACAGGTTGATGATATTACGCCTACGCATCCTAGCGACTATCTATAACTCGAGCTCGTAATAACCATTGGTACTATATATTCAATAAACATCAACAATGTTGTTGTAAACATATCTCGGTATTTAAAGCCTCGAATAAAGTGTTTCGTGGAAATAAAATCTCTTTAAACTGAACAATGACAAATATAATTCTCTCGTTACTTAATCTTGGAACATAAGGCGTGAAAAGTCCTTCATTTTCAGTAGGCCGTTTGTTCAAGGATTGCCTCGATGTTTTCTCTAATTCAGATCAACGAGATTAAATCTCTAGAAGGTCGCAATCATTAAAAGGCTCATATTTTGCAAAAAGATGTTTAGTGTATCGAATAGGGAAAGAAGAAACTTTATTATCAAAATTGAAACGCTGGTCTAAAGTTCCGTGAAGTTTTCATCGGTTTTAGAGTAAAAGTCGAACAAATATTTTACATTGCTAAGAAAGATAAGAAAACGAACATAGTAAAATTTTAGACTTTTTTCCGCCGCGCCTCAGTAATTTGCCCACCCCTCCATGTACCCTCTGTTTTCCGTCTCCTCTGGAACATCCGCTACGTAGGGATTGATTTCGCGTTCCTGTGAAACAAGATCGAAACCGGCTCCGAGACCAGGCAATCTGCGCGCGAAAATCGTCCGTGCGAGAGCTGCTGACCTCGATTGATAATAATCATACTCGGAATTTTACCGTCGCGTTTGTGCAGCTGCTCGGATCAGCTGCTGGGTAACAATAACAACAATCATAATGATTCTCAACGGAAATTAAATATTATATTACTATACAGTTCAGCAAAAGAATCCAAAGAAAAAAATTATTATTCTTTATTTTCTGGATATGGTTTCAGGCTGAAAAATACCTACTCGATCACATCATCGCAGTTTTTTAAGAGATTTAAGATCGACACTTAATCACAAGTTTCTTAAAATTGTGATGTAATAAAACATTTCTGAGGCCGCAAAATCGTAGTGAATGTAAAAAAAATTGCGTTACAAAACTTAGCATTCTGCGAACTCCGTCACGAGGCTATAAAAGAAGGCTATAAAAAAATAGGTAACAATTGCATAATAACATCACAAATTCACCATTGCGGCTAACAATAAGAAAACCGTCGCACAATCAATAATATAAGCCCGCGATCGTTTTGTGATTTTTTTTTGCTTTGGATGGAGACGCGACGACGGTAACTTTCCTGCAGCAACATTACGATAATCCGATTACTCAAGAATGTTGCGTGGTGCTGAATGATAAGGAAAGTAGGTGCCACCCCCCGTACATTTCGACAAGGGCGGATGGAAGTGACGCGCGCCGCTGGCGAAATGGTGCTCACCTTGGTGCTGAAGATCCGCGTCCTCTTGCCGCTCATCTGCACAATCAGCTTCTCGTTCATCGCTACCTCTCTGCAAAGCAACAAGCACGTTGTCATTATCATCGAACCGGCATCGACCTGTCGTCCCGACGCGCGACGTTATACAACAGACATTATATACGGCGACCGAATTCGGAAATCGACGAGACGCGCGCGCGCGGTCGTTCGCTGGTCCATAATGCACGCCAGTCAATAATACACCACCGGTGGCACAATTGTGTCACGTGCTGTCAATAACCGACGGCTCCTGAATCGGGAGCGACCTGTCACTCATCAAACCTTTTTATTTTACTTTCCACAGGCGACGAAATAATTGAATCCGCCGTTTCAAAGAGGATTATACTGCTCCGAGGGATCCCCTCTCGTCCCTTCAAAAAAAAATCGAACGTCCGCTATCGTTAGTACAACTGTGTCACCGTCGATTGTTAAATGTACGTTATTATTGCGCCATTTATAGAGGAAATGGAGTTGAAACTATAAACGTATCTTCGTATTCGACTGTATCGAAAGATGCGGTTACGTTTTTCTCGCTGAGCATATAAGAAATGTAATGAAATTCCCGGGGGAAAAAAAAATACGCTGCAGCTTTTTCGTAATTTAACGTAATTTAACAATGACTTGTATTCTCTTAACTCAGACCATGTTGAAATAAAATCCTTTCTAAAATTTAAAAGTGTAATTTGAAGCGTAGGATGATTCAAGATTTGCTCTTCCAATCTTGACTCAAATGACTGAATTAACCTGGCAACGGAGACTCGACATAGAAGTCAAAGTTAAGGCAAAATTGAGATGGGAAAAAACTTTTTCGCGAATTTACATAAATTTCAGAGACGAAGACAGACGAGATCGAGATGAATTAAGTAAAAACTTTTATTCAAAACGTGGGGAAATAAATCATTTCTCGTATTGATTTTTATACTTATATCTGCCTTCGACTCTTTACAAAACCATATAGAACGTGCGAGAAGATTGAATCGTTCCAACGATGACGAATCCACGTGCAATATGGATTTCAATCGCATTCGTCGCGCTTATGCATCAGCCTTTGTATATTCAATAACATTGCGTCGGCGATTCCAGCGTCGATTAATATCGATAATACGCTGCAACGCGCGAAGAAACATCATCCACGAGATGTTATTGACCGCAAAATAATTGCGTAATAGTATCGACTGGCCTGCAACACGGACAGCGAGAGAATCTGGGATACCAAAGGAGGACGTTCGGGATGCTGGAACGTTCCTCGAGCACGTCCTTTCGAAGAAACGTCACGGCGAATTTGGGTGCAACGTGGGTGCGCGTCGGACGCGTCCTAACCGTCGTTATCCCTCTGCGTCGACGTATAAAATCTATAAATATATACATATATAACGTCATTTGCTATATCGCTTGGGATATTTGTATTCGGGGTTTTAATCAATCGATCAGCGTGCTCCTCACGCTCGCGTGAATCTGTAGTAAACTTGCGCGCGGTGCATCCTGCATCGGGAGACACACGTTGTCCTGCCCTCCAGCTGAACTATACTCGGAGCAATTGGACTGGCGTCGTCCGGAAAGAGAGAGAGACAAAGAGAGAGAGAACGATCTTGTCGCGCCGCGCGACGGACATTCTAGCGCCGTAATTGTAGGAGAGCGACGGCAAGGGCACGACGACATCGCAACTGAATGCATACCCAGACAGCACGACCGTGTCCAAAATCGGGACATAAGACGTCTTTTAGACATCTTTTTTAGTAAAACGTCTAAAAGATGTCTAAAATTTGGACAAGTGTGCTGTATGGGAGACTCTTTCGTCCGACGCGAGATGAGGCGAGGCAAAGACGGAGCTGACGGAGCACAGACTCTTCCGGTCCACCAGTTGCACGACACACACACGCACCTCTTGTTGAAGGGTCGAACCCTCACGGCCACCTTCACCGATGCCATGGTCTCGCGGGGAGGAGCGCATCGGGCTCTCGGGACGAGGAAACGCGATCAACGCCACCAGGCCACCGCCGCGTTTCCTCGCGGCGACGAGAGACGCGGAGTGGAGGTGCGAAAGCGTCTACGCGAACAGCGGCGCGGGACGCTCCTCCGAGGAGGAGGAGTGCGTGGCGTCGCGACGACGGGCGGCGTGCGGCGTGCGGCGTGTACGCGGGGCTAGCGTGGCCTACGGAAGACGCTGGCGTCGTCGTCGGGTCATCGTCGACCCTCTTTCCCCACACGCTCGTGACTCACGGATCATCACGGATGACCGCGAGCGACTAGCGTATACTGTGCGCTGCCGCTGCGCCGTAGCCGCCGCCGCCGTACCAAGCGGAGCGAGTCGAACGAATGCGGACGAACGCGCATGCGTGATTCCCGCGCAACTCGATCGCGGCAGCCTATTTGCTCGAGGACCGAATAACCGGCGAAGGCGAGCCGCAAAAGATATTCAAATTAATACCGGACACCCTGGAAAGAGAAAAACACATCAAAGGAACGGGAAGGGGGGGAGCGTCAGTGTGTCAAGGAAAATATACACGTATACTTTAAATCAATATTTGAAACGTTGAAACTGCGTTAAAAATAGAAAATAAAAGGAAAAGGCGGGAGAGGGGGAGGGAGTTTCTTTCTGGAAACTTATAAATATCTATAACTTCTATTATTACTCACAATTCTCTATTATAATTCTCTATAATTGCGCGCAAAGTAATATACGATCGCCCTAGATATACATTCTTCAATAAAACGTTGAGTCAAATTAAATATTGCCAGTACATTCGTCAATCAATGTTATTTTGAATTCGACGATTGGATCCAGCGATTCGACGCCCCAAGGGATGGAGAAGCGTATACGTGTCGTACGTGGATCGGGTCCTTATAGAAACCGCTTTGCGCTTTCCTTGAGACGTCTTTGCGTTGCAATGACGTCATCGGCGGCCGTTAGCACGAGCAGAAGCGGAGAAGGCCGAGCCGCGCCACCCACGCCAGCAAAGATCACCGAATCGAATCGCTCTGCGGTTTTTCGACCGTGTATAACGGCGGTCGTGGCGAGAATTCGCGTCGTCGTCTTGTTGCCAAGCCCAGGGAGGTCGGCGAGACCAAGCCGCAACGTCCACCTGCCGGCTTAACGAAAAAAAAAAATTACATGACAGCGCGAGAATGTCAGAACCTAGAATAGAGCAATCGAATTTTTAAAGCATAAAAGTTACTCTCGGGACGAAAGGAGAGTCTGCTTTGTATAGAGCTCGATGGTAGATCTGTTTTTTTTTTTACAGCTAAATTAGTATATATTCTTTGTACTTATAAAGTGAGCTCAAAAGACGTCGTAAAGACACCTTTAAGACATTTTTAACCCTTAAATGCCACTCGGGGTCCAGCGGACCCCAGATCCTTTACAATGATACATTTTCAAATGTTTCCCCCAAAAATGGAGCTCATGTTCCCATTGATGACAGTTGAGTGATTGACCTACCCGGTTGTACACTTAGCAGTACTCAGTTTACTTAATTTTTTATACTATGTTGAAATTGAAATTTTAACAATATAAGCATTTTATTCTCTTTTCTAAGCCTTGAACAACATTGAAAATAATTTTCATAACTAAATATCAAAAAATCAATGAGTAAGGAGACATTTTTCATGCTGGGGTCTTTTAGGACCCCATGTGTCATTTACGAGATTCTTGAAAGGTGTGGCATTTAAGAGTTAAGACATCTTAAACATACGTATCTAAGGCCGGTATTCATAATCAGATCTTATTTCAAGACCGTCTTAAGTAATATCTTAAGATGCTAATACGGCTCTGTGATTGGTTAATAACATCTTAAAATTGTACTTAAAATGGTCTTAAATATAAGAACCGACTATGAATACCGACCTAAAAGACACCTTAAGACGTGTTCTTACGGTGTCTTTTAGACACACGTGCTGACTGGGGAAATATATGTTTGAAATTTAGCGAAAGCTAAAAGGAAATAAAGTTTTAGTGCCAGTCGTAAGTGCTGGTCTACAACCTAGCTTTTAAAGGTATTTAAGCTCTAAGCCGTAAGGAATTTACCAATCACAATCGAGTATTCTTTTCACATTCCATTGTGATTGGTCAATTTCTTACGGCTTAGAGCTTAAAATAAAAAGAACAAACTTAAGTGTTTAAGCTGATCGAATTTATTTCTAGAAAATTTGCAATACCACAGTTAATTCCGTTATGAGAAATTGAAACATTTATTTGGATAAATAATTCAAGATATCGAAGAAATCGCTGTTCCATCGTCTTAGCGAGAAGACACGAACGATAAATCGCGAAAGCCTTGAAGAACTGCGCGATTATCCGCGTACATGTTCGCGCATAGTGATTCGCAACCGATCAGGTTGACGTAATCGCGTCGCGCGGATTGTGTTTAGGCGCGCAGCGCACTTCCGGAAGACTAAATACGGTCGCGGGATGATGATGGTCGGCGGGATGATGTCCCGGCGATCCTGCCATTGACCGCATAATGTCGCATCGTTCATGTATGCTAATGCAGGCCGTAGGCACGCGTGCGGAAACGAGTCAGAAACGAATCTCAACGACGTCTAACAAAGACGCCTGAAAGTCGGTGAATACGGATGTAATTCCCTGATGAAGAAACCTGTTTACCTATCGCAGAAAGGGAAACGGAGGATACACGCGACCGCCATCTTCCAAATCATTCGACAACTTAATTGTGATGCATGTTTCTGTGCTTATATCTCTAATCGTAAAGAGAACACACTATCTCGAAAAAAAAAAAAAAACGTAAATTGTAGAATGAAAATTGTTTACAACGCTCGAATCTGTTGTCAGCGAAGTTCTGTTTTCGAGAAAAACGCTAGCTAAAAATATCACGTGCAAGATTTTGCTTTTTTCGCTATTTTATTTTTTTACAATTATTCCCTTTTATATTTATAAACCGCATTAATTAATCTGGCTGAAAGTAAAATTAATTAAGAAATCCATCGACAATAATGTATATGTACATACAAAAATACTTTAGACTTTAGAGCTTTAGATACACCGGATGTTCTTCCGGTGGCTCATATATAGGTACATGTCTAACAATAAGACAAATTTAACGTCGTTCTTCTTCAACGGCACGTTTCTAGGAAGGTAGACCATCACTCGCGAATTCTCTGAACACTTTTTCTTACAAGGAAATATGCAGGAGATATTTTGAAAAATAATAAGTAAAATAAGATCATTATAATATTATATACAATTTAAAGGGACAAGCCATTTAATTTGTGGTCTGAACTGGATATTGATCTCTAGCCTATAATAATAATAATAATAGTGTGTGAATTTTGTATACTTTTTCCAATTTTTAAAAATACAATATTTTTGAAAAATCTGAATAATTAAGTACTTTTAAAAAATCAAGACTTGTTTAAAACATAAATATCTTTTCACGACATATATTATACTTACAATTATAGAAATAAAAAAGTCGGTTTCTTTAAAAGAGTTTAAATGGTTTTTTATCTAAGAACACTTATTTAAAAAATATATGTTTTGTTATTTTAATTCTATAACACATTCAAAATAAAATATATCAAAAGTGAAAAGCGTGCATTTTATCATATAATCTCCGTTTTTGCCGGTTGAGTCGGTCGCCTGTCGAGGTCCACAGTGTCCACACAGATGGCGGCACTCGCTCGCGAGCGTTCGGAGAACGCTCCGAAAAGGGCCGACTCCAGGCGGCGCGGGCGCGTCACGAACCGTCGGAGGCGCCAGCCGGGGAGTCCGGGGACCCGGAGCGGAACGGAACCGAGAAGGGGAGGTGCGGCGGGAGAGCGCGGATCGGCTCGGGGATCGCGGACGGTCGTCGTAGTCGTGAGCCGGGTGAGCCGCGTCAGTTGGGTAGCAACTGTCGGGCACGTGTGTCGGCGTCGCTCGTTCTCGGTGCCAGGGGTAAACGCGTGCGCGGGTGGCGGGTAGTGGGCTCTGTGCGTGCGTGTGTCGACGGTGGGCAGTGGTGGTGGTGGTGGTGCGCGAAAGGTGATACTCCTTACTCCTCCTCCTCCTCCCCCTCCGTCTCGCGCTCGTCGTTCGCCTATACTCCTTTTCCGCGAGCCCTCGAGGAGGAGGCACACCGGGGATGCGGTGAACTTGTAAAAACGCGAACATGTGATTCTCTGACAGGGCGAGACAGGCCCCCCTCGTCTCGGCGTTACCCCCCCGTTTTTTCCCCCCGGCTGTCTGCCCCGTTTCGCGTCTAGCCGTTCGCGGCGGGGGTAGTAGTGTGCAGTTACCCTCGTACATACTCGCGCTCTCGCCCGCCGGGATACGCCGCTGGACCCCCTCCCTCCCCCGTCTCGCCCCCTACAGTCGTGCGCGTCGAGGGGTCGTCGCCGCGCGCCGCGGAGGTGGATATGACGTTCTGAATTTCGGAGCAGCGAGAAGAGCCACGCGCGCATCAACATGGTCACCAAGCACTTCGCATCGCAGGGTGAGTTTTCGCCCCCCTTTCCTTTTTTCCCTCCCCCCCCCTCGTCTGGCCGCCCGGTCACCGCGCTCCTTCCTCGCTTTCGTCCTTCCCTCTGCCGTTCAACCCCCCGCCGTTGCCTTCTCGGTGGTGTGTATGCATATCCGTCGTCGCCTCCGCCCCGAACGTGTCCGGAGGCGATAACGCGCGTAATTTCTCGTCGCCGTCGCGACGCCTCCTTCGTAGGCGTACGTCGTCGACCTCCGGAGAGAGAGAAATAGAGAGAAAAGAGAGAGAAAGAGAGAGAGAGAGAGAGGGGTGGGTGCAGAACGGGTGGGTGCCACACTGGGTGGTGCAGCTCGATCATAACAATGTAGTCCGCGGCGTAGCGCGTACTTTCTACACACCCGTTTCTGCCTACCCTTATCCTTTCATCCCTCTTCTTTTTGAAAATAATAGATAATGGGAGCTTTCCAGCATGCAAGCGACGCAAATCGACACAAGTGTCGTTTTGTTACTCAT